GGGTCCAGCGCCGATCCGAGAAATCCGCGCGGACCTCCGAGTTTTTAGGTGTATGTCACTTTTTGTTCCCCGCTGGGAGCGTTCTCGGGCCCGGGTGCCCGGACCCGAAAGCGCCAAATCTCCCCGGGCTCCCAGGTGTGCCCCCCCATGGGGCGCGCCCCCCGGGCCTCGTCGCGTCTGCTGCCCGCGTGGCTTCGTCGGGCCCAGGAGGGCCTTTTTTCTTTCCCGAGGCATGGAAGGCGCAAGTATAACGGATGAGACAAGGAACAAAAACACTGACTAGTGCGAGCTCGGTAGGCGGTCGCCTTTTTTTAGCCAGTTTCGGCCCATAGACCGGGCGTGGACAAGGAGGGCGCGGTCTCTTGGCCCGTTTTGGAGCCCAAGAGGGCACCCAGAACGGGCCAGGAGACCGCGAGAGGCCGCCCAAACGGGTCCTCGAGGGCGTCCACGTCGCCGCACGATCGGTCCCATACGCCCAAGATTGGCCGCAGGACGGCCCAAGAAGTCTCCGAAAAGCCCCAGGAGCCTTCCCAAGAGGGCGCCGAGAGGCCAACACGGCCCAACAGCCAACAGGGCCCCGAGTCTTCGAAAAGCCCCAAGAGCCTTCGCAGGAGGCCCCCAGGAGGCCCCCAACACGGCCCAAGAGGGCTCCAAGGCGGCCCCAGAAGCGCCCAGGACGGCCCAAGAGGGCCCCAAAGACAGGTCCAAGAAAGGGGGTGCGAACCGAACATCTGAATTGTCCGCCCCAAAAAGCCACCAAGAAACCCCAAGGAAGTCCGAAAGGCCCCTAAGAGGCCCCAGGAGACCCGCAAAAGGCCCCGAAGACGCTCCAAAAGGCTGCCAAACGGTGCAAAAACTAAAAAACGGGCCCCACGAGGCCCCCGAGAAGCCACCTGCCACATCTTGACGAACATCCGGAAGGCCTATAACCCACAACGCAGACACGGTGGCGGGATGGGACAGAGGCCATTCTATCCGCCGCCCCATGTGCTTGTCAGAAGGGTGCCTGGCGTGCTGGATTGTACGGTCTTTGCTTTCGGTTCTTTGTACAGTATCCGGGGGACGTAAGACCTGGGTAATTACAGGGGACTCGGAAATCCCCGACGAGGTCGTCAAAAAAATGACGAGGCCGAGCCTGCATTTTGACGAGGCCTCCCGCTGCAGACATCCCACGAAACTCCTCCTCGTCAAAATCCGAGGCGCGGTCGTCAAAAAACGATGGCGAACCCGAGTCCTGGCAAACCCGGGTCTTACGCTCCCCCGACAGTAGAACACCACCAGGGGCTTCGGCCCGTCCCGCCCCGGCCACCCGGCGAGGACCGACAAATGTATATGTCGATAGCCTTCCCGTTCCAAGATGGCCCAAGACGTAAGGGCTCCCAACTTCGCGCTTCGCCCTGCGCGAAGCGCGAAGTGCGAATAACTTCGCGCTCTCACGCCGCCTCCCAGGGGAGAAGAGGAGGACGAGGAGGAATCGGAGCCGAACCGCGAAGCGCGAATAACTTCGCGCCCTCGAGGGCGCCCTTGATGGTGGCATCCAAGTTCGCCCAAGATTGTCCAAGATGGCATCCAAGACGGCCCACGAGGGTCCAACAACAAGGTTTTGGCATGTGCTTCTTGTTCGGCCTCCCGACGGCCCGAGGCCGCCCAGCAGCCCCCCAACGATCGCCCCAGGATCGCCCAAGAGGCCTCCAAGATGGCCCCAGAGCGGCCCACGAAGCCCCCAAAGACGGTCCCAAGAGGACTCCGAGACGGCCCAAGAGCCCCCAAAAGTCACCCCAAGACCGCCCAAGAAGCCTCCGAGATGGCCTCAGAACTGCCCAAGAGGGCCCCAAG